TGTATTTCTTTGCGCTATATAGGTCCAAAGTGGGCTGTTTTGGGCCATAATGTAGTGGTTTTGGTGGGGGGCTTGGCAAAACTGTGACACGAACCCGTGTGTGACACGAACCCGTTAGGTACGTTATAATGTGGTGGAGCTATACGCTTATAGAGGTGCGCAAAGTTGGTGGGGTGGCTCACTCGCTTGTATAGCTCACTCGCTTATAAACTACGTTAGCTTCTACGAGGTTGTGGTTATTGAGACATCACGCGTTGTTGTTGCGAAGTTATTTTGGTGAGGAGACTGCGCCGCTCGGTGGGGTGCGCCGCTCGGTGGTGAAACACGTTACATAGATATTATAAAGAAACTAGAGTGGTTTACTACTCTTCTGTTAAAACCCGCGTCCAATCGAATTTCCTCCACCCTTTCCTCCATCCTTCAACCCTCCTATCCCCTTTGACCCACTTGCCCTGCCTCTTCACAACTTCAACATCAACATCTAACATGCCGCCTAGCACCTCTCTGGCGAACAAATCGCCCCTCGGCCACGCCCGCTCATCCTCGACCACATGCCCCAGTCCGCCATCCAGCTCAAACCATACATGAAAATACGGCATCTCCTTTGCTAAACTCCTTCGAAACGCCGCTCTCCCCATGCCGTTCCGCGATGCCTTTTGCGTATCCACCAGCGGCTTATGCTGCGTCCAATCCCCGGCTTGGGCGAGAATCGCTTCTTTGAAGAACGCAGGCGCCATGTCCCCCAGCTCGAACGGGATAGGGACAGCGTTCAACGCTGCATGCCCTTTTCTACCAGGGAACGCAGCGTTTTCGTAGAAAACGACATCGCGGCCTTGCTCGTGGTACATGCGAGTGAGACACTTCATGAAGTTGCGGAGTTCCTCCCATTCGTCGTCGTCGCACTCGAGAAGGTTGGTGCGGTGCGCTATGGGCACTATGACGGCGCCGCCAGTGCTGATTTCTGGTTCTGTGGGGAGAGTGAGGAAGACGCGGGTTGCGAGGGAGATTATTGGGGCGACGGGGGGTTGCGGGGGTGACTTGTCTTCGTGGTGGCAAAGGGGACAGGCGTCGAGAATGCGGGACATTTTAGTGTAGTCTTGGATTGCGGCGTTGCGGAGGTTGATGGAGGATTTGGGGGCGCGGGCGGCGAGTTTGGTGGCGTTTTCGTCGAGGTAGTCGAGGTCGTTGTTGAATCTACTGTCTTTTGCGATTTTAGAGGCAAGGAGCTGGCCTTCGCCGCCTGGTTGGGTTTTGGTGCGGCGCTCCTGGCGGACCATGTCGTCGAGGGACATATCGTCGTTTTCCTTGACAAGGCCGCGCTCGGTGCCGCGCTTGTTAGTGAGGGCGATGACTTCGCCTTCACGGCCACCGGCAAGCATGCGATTGTCCATGGCGTTTAGGACGACAACATCGCGGTCCTTAGAGCCGGATGCGTTTGCGAGGGCGGCGTTGTATTCGGCTTCTAGTTGGGCGGCTTCGGGGGCCTTTTTCATCTTGGCCTTCATCATCTGGGCTTTGAGTCTGTTGAGCTCTGTTTGGCTGAGTGCAACCGTGTTTGCTGTTGGTTGTGGATTAGGGACAACTTCGCCCTGGGGCATATCTGCTGCTTCGCCAGAGTCACAGGACGGTCGGTGAATGCCTGCTTTTAGTCTGCGCTCCTCGAAGAGCTCGCCTAACGGCTTCTCCTTTCCCAGATAATCCTTCCCATACATTTTTCTCCGATCAAGCTCAATCTCCTCCTCACGTGCCTCGTCAAAGTCACGCAGGTCGCCGTATTTCTCCATGGCGACTTCTTCCACGCTTCGCCCTGATTCCTGTGCATTCCGGTATATGCCCTTGAGCTTCGTCATGCGCCATTGCGATCCGGAGTCTCCAAATGTGTAGCTCACTTCTCGCTGGGCCGGATCGTCAGCTACAGGGGCTTGCTCGTCCTTGATGTCGGCCAGATGATGGTTCAGCTCGGCTTGGTGGATCTTGAGCGCATGCTGTTGCTCAGCCGATGCTTTGACATAAGTTGTCTTCTCCTTCTTCTTCTTTCGCTGCACGTAGTCGACGTCCATGGACGATGGCGCTTTCATCCAATCGTCGCGCTGCAAGTCTGCATCGGCAGCCTCCTCGAGCTGCTGGTCCAGAATATCATCGTCAGGGGGCACGTAGTCTTTTTCTTGCGGGGCATCGTCGCCAGAAGATTCGTCTTCGTGGTAGTGTCGTGACTTGCGCCTTCGTGTCAGGCGGTCCTCATCGTCGCTCGAGTGAGTCTCTCTGTGCTTGCGCCGCGATCGATCTTCTTTTTCATGCCGCTCTTTCCGTTTCCGCCGCGCACGCTCTTCAGATGTCTCCCGATGGTGTCGTGACCTCTTGGAACGATGGCGCTCGTCGTCGTCGTGATGGCGCGAGGAGCGGTGCTTGCGGTGATGCCTGTCGCGACTCCTGCTCCGGTTGCGCTTCTTATCTTCGTCTTTTTTCTTGTTCTGCGCAAGCTCCTTTTCAAATTCTTCCAGGCCCATTTTGGTATTGTTGGCGACGATATTGTTTTAATTGTCGTCGGTGATGTTATGCGACGTTGAGCGCGCGCGGCCAAAGTTTGGAGCCGCCGACAAAGCTCGGACCTGACATCACCGCGGCGGTTTTCTAGCGCGTCCGCCCCGCCTAAGAATTTCTGGAAGGCCGCGACTGGTGATTGTTCACTGGAGTTGTGTAGCGCCTGCTACTTTCTTCTCTACACTACCTTCTATTCTCGACACTTACACTCCTCCTTGCTGCCGCTTCAACTCGAACAAACCCTTGCCATGTCTGCCTCAAAAGCCCCCGAGGGCGCCACACCCGCCGCTGCCTCGAATGTGCCGGTCTCCATTGTATGCGTGGGTATGGCAGGCAGTGGAAAGACGACATTTATGCAACGACTTATCTCCCACCTCTACACCCACCCCGACCCCACGACGAGCGAGCCATCAGTATCCAAGAAACCTCCAACCCCGCCCTACATTATCAACCTCGACCCCGCCGTCCACCATGTTCCCTTCACGCCCAATATCGACATTCGCGATAGTGTCAACTACAAAGAGGTCATGAAGCAGTTCAATTTGGGTCCCAACGGCGGCATCCTGACAAGTTTGAACTTGTTCAGCACAAAAATTGACCAGGTCATTGGTCTACTAGAAAAGCGAACACAACCGCCGCCGCCTGCAAAAGAGCCGGAGCCTAGCACTGTAGAATTCATGACAAGCGGAGGAAAGGATAAACAGGCGGCTCCAGTTCAGCAAGCGCAGGTCAAGCATATCCTGGTTGACACACCAGGTCAGATTGAAGTCTTTGTCTGGTCGGCCAGCGGAGAGATTCTTCTTTCGAGTTTAGCCAGCACATTCCCCACAGTGATTGCCTACATTATCGACACGCCACGCACAACTAGCACAAGCACTTTCATGTCCAACATGTTATATGCCTGCTCGATTCTCTACAAGACAAAACTACCCATGATCCTGGTGTTCAATAAGACCGATGCACAGGACGCCCAGTTTGCTAAAGACTGGATGACGGACTTTGAGGCGTTTCAGACTGCCCTCCGAAATGAAGAGGAAGGCGGCACTTTTGGTGGCGATGGCATAGGCGGAGGCAGCGGATACATGGGCAGCCTGCTGAACAGCATGTCGCTCGTGCTTGAAGAATTCTACAAGCACCTTAGCGTTGTCGGCGTCAGCGCTATGACTGGAGAAGGCATAGACGAGTTTTTCAAGGGCGTTGAGGAAAAGAAGGCGGAATTCGAGCGGGATTATAAGCCCGAGCTTGAGCGAAGAAGAGTGGAGAGAGAGCAAGAAAAGAAGGCGTCGCGTCAGCGCGAACTAGACAAGATGATGAAAGACATGAAGGTTGGCGGCGCCGGCACTAAGCCAAAGCCTCGGCCGCGCAAAGAAGAGCCGCAAACTGTCAGCGACGCGGAAGACTCGGAGGACGACGCCATGGCCCACGACGAGCTAGACTACGAAGACGAAATGGACTCGGATGACCCGGAGTCGGGCATCAAGGAGCGCTACAGACAAGCGGTGCAGGACCGTGGTCTCGATCAAGGCGAAGACCACAGTTTTGCGCGTTATGTTAACATGGCCAAGTTTAGCTGATACTAATCAGTCAAATGAAACAAACCAAAGAACAACAATACACCCGAAATTGCACACGCAATTCTTCTTCTCAATCACTCCATCTATATATTTTTCTTTCCTTGGTCAAAGATGGAAATCCCATGCGAGACCCTTTTTCTTTCCACAACACATCACACACAATTTTCCTCTCTCTCTCTCCTCGCCTCCACGCCCTCGGTTCTCTCCATCCATGCCACAAAAGACGCAGATGCATCCCCGTATCTCGGTCACCGAGGCGCGCAAGCAAACACATGTGTTGAGACAGATAGAGAGAAAAGGGGGGATGAGAGAGAAAAACTCCAGGGGTTCTTGCGTTGTGCGTGTGGTACGGAGTGTGTGCTGTGCAACTGACGGGTAGGCCCAGCGGGCCGCAGCGAAGATGGAAGGGAGGGGGTGCGGGCAGATTGGAAAGACGCCGTGTCAGCCCGCTCTAGGGGGTGGTTGTTGCCGTCTCTCGTCTCAACAAAGATATGGGGACGGGATAGGGTCTTGTTCGCGTGCAGGGAGTATTGAAGAGCTTGTATCAAATCTCTTTTCTCTCCATCTCTTTTTTGATTTATTTGAAACGCTGCATATGGGATTTGAGTCTTTTTTTGGCCGCTCTCAGCGTCCCATTGTCAACTCTATTCTGCTCGCTTTTCCGATCGAACAAGGTGAGATATGTCAGCATTCTAGATCTTTGCCCTTTTAACGCCGCAATGCGCTCTTCGGAGGAGAATGAGGAGGAGGAAAGGTAAACGGGATAATTAGCACCGCAAAAAGGTGTATTGTCATACCGGGCACCCACTCACTGCACCGAAACCGCTGCCGATATGGACGTATGCACGTTATATGTATGTATGGATGTATGTATGTATGTATGTATGCAAGTATGTGTATGGTGTAAGCCTCTCTCCCCTGGTGATACAAAACGATAATATATCCCTGGTCCAAGTACCCTAACTCCCCGACGCCGCTACTGCGACCGTGTATATGTGAGATGATATGGGATGCGGGTGAGGGTAATACAAGAAGTGGCTGACTGAGTTGTCTTTGCTGCCTGGGCTGTTTTGGGGATAGGTGAGATGGCTTGTTGTAGTTTTCTTATCGTTGCTCGGGGTATTGCATCGTTGTTTTATCGGACTTCATATTTGTTTACAAATCTATATCCTCTTGTTTTCTTATCGATGGAAAGAGAAGTGCAGCACGTGCGGCTGACTTTGAAGAAATAGTGACATATCGCGTAGTGACATATCGTGTTGGGGAGGGTGAGATTGTAAGAATGCAACTTTATCATTTTCACTACGAAACGAACTACATCCAACGAAAAAAAAAACCATACGCTGGTGAATATTTCCAACGTAACCTATCCCTCACCATGTCAACCCCTCCAAACTGCCCTTTCTAACCTTTCTAATCCCTTACTCATCTTTTAGTACCCAAACCCTATCCACCCCCACCCAAGTACGTATCCCGTATTCCTATACGTACCCTCACCCTCCGTCCGTCCCCTCCCTACGTCCGTATCCATCTTACCCAATCCCTCCAACCCACGGTCTTCCCAATCAGTAACCCGCACCCTCGGATTCTTCCCATCGAGACTAATCAAGCAAAATGGGCCGAAGTATGTAGAGAGCCCCTTGTTCGGTTTTGATTGAGGGTTAGATCCCGGATCCCTGGATGCTTGGCTTTTGCTTAAGGGAAGAGGGGCGGGATGTGAAGGGAGGTGGGAAGAGGAGAGTCGGCGTCCGAGGAACGCGGAGGCGAGGGAAGGTCCGAGGAAGACACAGGTGGGCGAGGATGGAAGGGAAGGATGAGACGGATAGGGAAGGAGAGGGTGGAAGGATGCCTTGTTGGGGAGTGAGAAAGGTGAAGGTAGTGAAGGGATGCTTGTTGTGGGACTGAGGGGTTTGGAAGGATGAGTTGAGGGGTTTTCTTTTTTTGGGTTACAGAGCGCACGTGTCATTGTAAAATGAAAATGGTGTTCGTTTGATTTGCGGTTTTTTCTTGTCGTGGACATGGGTTTCGACATTGCGGCCTTTGACGGGCGTGTGTTTTGGACATGTGAATGTGTGATGGGTATATCTTTTTCCGACCGGGGTTGAACGGACATAGTCAAAGCAACAATGGCGATATTTGGAAGAGAACGGAGACGAGAATGAGAAAGAAATTTTTTGTTTTCGTCTGATCTTCATGTTGCATGAGAGCAGTAATTGCAGGAATTTGTTATTCCACTATATTGAGAAGTGCATCTTCATCCTCAGCGGCGTAAACTCGCTCTATCGTTTTTTTTCGTTGTGTCTCGACGAAGACAAATGGAGCAATAGCCCCAAAAGGGAGGGATGGTACAGACCTGCAGAGCAGAGATTGCGTGTCCTCTCTTTCCTGAGACGGGCGTAACGTAACGTAGTACTACTATGGCCTATCTACCAAATGCAGTGCGCACGTGCAGGGTTTCTGCATCATTTACAGACATGGAGATGGGCAAAGAAGCGAGGTTTGCCCTCCCTACGCATGCGTTACGCGTCCCCGGTGTTATCAAGACTCGACCAAGGCAGATCTGTCTGAAAAAGAACAAGCAGGGGAGAGGGAAGACTACTCTTCTCGATCACTTCACACACGGGGTCGAGGGTGGTAGCTTCCTGAAAGAGTTAACGCTATCTTTGATTTGTGATTATGAATAGTTTCATCAGCTGCTTAGGGGGGGCTGGAAAGAGAGCAAGGACCAGGGAGCCATCTGCTGGAAGTACATTTTCCCTCCCCCCATTTCTTGCTTGCCCAGAGGTATGGGTCAGGCTAGGTTATACGGCCACAGTACACTAGTAGCTTCCCCGGGGATATGATCGTTTCCCCGTAAACTCGCCTAGGTACGGCCATGCGTGCTCAGCTGCTATTTCGGGGCCAGGGGGGGGGGGTGGCCATATCTTACAATATACCAACCGGTTCTGTGCCCGGCACCGACCAAGGGCCGACCGTGGCAACGTGCGGGGAGGCGTGTAAGAAATGGGAATGAGTGGTGCGGGGGTCCTGTTGTGTTGCAGGGGATGCCGTGGTAGTCAAGTATCAAGTGCATTTCATTTGGAGGTAGAGGAGAGAGGTGGACTGTATAGATGCAGTGATCAGCGAATCCGCGGATATTGTGTTACACATAGACATGATGGACCGACGAGGAAAATGGTGAGGCATTTTGGGGCAGAGGAAAAAGAAAGAAAAGAGTACATGTAAGCAGCCGCTGGGGCCGTGGAGGGCTGCTGCCATAGAGGATTGCTGCCGCGGAGGTTGCCGCCAGCAAACGCAATCATGCACGGGGTCCACGATGTCAAGTGCATGTGTCGATATGCGAGTTTTGATGGTTCTCGTCCTGGTGAGGGATTTGGATATGAGTGGTGGTCGTATCGAGAACGTCTTGTCTGCAAACCTTATCGTATATGCAAATCGGCCGCCTAGCTGAAGCAGGGCACTGTGGATGGCGGAAGCCTAGAGTGGCACGGCGTTTGGTCCCACGATTTGACAGGGAATACCAGTTGGTTCCAGCCTTGAGGGATGATTACGGTCGCTCGTCAGCTTGATTCGTTGTAATTTAGCGTATAGGGCTTGCTCTGGCTGAGCGCGCCCCCTCAAAGCCGTGCAGATCCGTAAGCAGCCGGATGGACATGCAAATGCAAAACATGGAACAGTCAGCAAAAAATAACAAAGGCCGACAACGACAGAGCAAGAGCCAAAAGCAATGAAAAAGATATTGTCAGACCGGGGAAATGGTGTGACGCCCAAGACGTGTGCCGGACAGGCTCCTCGGACGTGAGAAGACGCAGCAAAAAGGTGTGTAAGGTGTGCAAGGGTAGGCTCAAAGTGCAGTGCGCGTAACCGCTCGGGGCACTGCTAAGTGTGTCGTAGCGGGCTGTCGGCTGTTGTCCGTAAGAGTGTATTGCGGCGCAACTTTAGCACATCTAGGTGTAATCTCGTTGAAGGCATGTCCTTGACTGTAGATTTAGTATTGGGGGGGGGGGGGCTTGGATGCAAAGCGTTGTAGTATTAGTCGCAGCAGCAATGCGTGGGCTGGAGGGGTTGGTGTACCCGACCCCAGGGCAGGCCAATGGCAAAAACCGGAATGGCCAGCCTACCCAATGAGGCCTCATGTGCAGATCTTCAGGGCTTCGACCGAGATGTTGAAGGGCGATCTGCAGGGTCTACATTGCTTGGAGGGGGAGCCGGCCTGCACGAACTAGTGGATTTTTTTTCCAACGTAAGAGTTACAGGCAAGCGGTAGGCAGGCTGGGATTAGAAACAAAGAATTGAGAGTTAGCCGTTGGCTTGCATCGGTTCTTGGGTAGCCTGCGGGGAGAGTACGCCGCAGCGACTCACAGATGGCAGCGCACTGAAATAAGCTTTGTGAGGCGCTGCGTAGCGGCCAAGAGTGGATAGCAGGTGAGGAGAAAAAGGCTAGACAGGCTGCGAACCATGGCAAGCCGACGGCAGATGGCCTTAGTAACGAGATTGCGGAATGACAGCGGGCCACCAAGCTGTAGTTTGATTACCGGTCGTCATCGTCACTATTGCATGTGCGCCATGGGCTTTGCATCTGCAAGGCCACATAACTGGCGCACTGGTTGGCGAGTTGGGCGACTTTGACGGAGCATCTGTCCACGAGGCCTTTCCATGGTTACAGACGTATTGTTGAGACTACCAAGCCATATTGCGTTAGGGAGCGTTGACAAAAACCATGCACGTAGATACACCAAACAACCTTGCCAGCAGGGACGAGCCATGTAATGGGTATGTGTAATTGTTTTCATTGCTATTATCCGAGTAGCAGACAGAGGGGGTGATGGTTTGTAACAGAACACCGCTCAGTCGTCCTCGGGGGCCAGTGCCACATGTGTTCAAAATCAAGACAGAAAATCAAAGGTCGGTGCACCTTGCAAAAAAGGGCGGGTATCCATATTACCAGTTCCAAACCCACGTCCCTATGATTGAAGCCCTCCGTCCACCCAATTGGCCGTCATCATGGTAGCGCTACCACCGAATTGAAACGAGAAGAAAATAAAAATAAAACATGTCTGTAAGAGGGCGTGACTGCCGTAAAGGTATATACAAAGGAAATGACAAGGCGAAGAGAATACGTAAGGAAAAGGTCATGCGTGTGTGCGAGCAAATCGCACCGCCCACCCAAAAGAAACGCCGAGATCCGTTTGTAGCCATGACGGCGTGCGTCTATTTCTTCCAAAACGGCCTTTTTTTAGTGAAAAAAAAAACTCCATTAGATGCTGATCGTAGCCGCAAGCGCCATGCTCCAGAGGTTGTTGAGCCTCGTGCCGTAGATCAGGAAAAAAAAGTGATGACAAACGTGAGACGAAAAAAGAATAGAAACTAGACTGAGAGAGGCGAGTGACAAAGCTGATTACGACTCAAACTTGCGCTTCTCTCCGCTGGCCGCAATGGCCAAGGCGTCTAGACCACCGTACGAGCTAGGGTTGTAGCTGTAAGGAGTGGGGTCGGGGTACGGCGAGCGATGTTGTGAGTTTGAAAAGTCGAGGAAGGAGTCGGAAGATTGTACCGGGGGAGCCATGTATGACGCCGTAGCGGGACTGACGGGCAGGGTGGGGTCCACCATGGAGAGCGACGACAGGGAAGGCATTGTCGACTGCAGAGGCGCTGGCTTGGGGCGCTTGGCCTGGTGCTTTGCCTTTTTGACGTCGCGGTCGGCGCCCTTTGCGGCGTTGCGGCCGGTCTGGTGAGTGCGGCGGTGCTGCTCCATGTTGTCCTTGCGAGTGAAGGCCTTGTTGCACTCGGGGCAGAAGGCGTCCTTTTTGCCGGTGTGCTTCTTGGCGTGGCGCGCAGCGTGGCCTGAGGTGGTGAAGTAGTCGTTGCAGCCAAATTGCTTGGCCATTGGGCATGGGTAGCTGTTCTTCTTTGGGCGGGTGTTAAGGGCCGATGGCTCCGAGAGCTGCTGATGTTGCTGGTGGTGCGGTTCCTGGAGATGGTCGGGTCTGTTGTTGAAGTAGCCCGGCTGGGGTGGATAGGGCATCGGAGCCGTTTGTGGCTGGTGCATGGGGTAGCTGAGGTCCTTTTGCGAGGGGAAGAAGCCATTTTGCGAAAAGACGGGCGAGTCCATGCCCTGCTCAAAAGCAAAGTCTGGGGTAATGGGCGAGGGAGTCTGCATGTTTGAGTCTGAAGAATCGCTGCGGACCAGGCGTGGGGTTGGTGGTGAGGCAGCGGGTGACGAATAAGCTGAGGTGCGGGATTGGAGGGAAGGAGTGATGGAGGGGAGTCGGACAAGTTGAGGTGGAGGCGCCGGGCCGTCGTTTAGCAAAGACACTCTGCGACCTGTCGAATTCTTGCCGGACAAGGCGTCCATTTTGAGCAGACACGTGCCGGTGCGAGGAGGGGAGGTGATGAAATTCACAGTAATGTGGGGAGAGCGAGAGGGGGGGTGGTTGTGCGGTGCGGTGCGTGTGCAAAGAAGGCAGTGCAGGACGCAGAGCAGGCGCAGGTAGACAGGCAAAGCACGTGAAAGTCCGAGGCGAGGCGGGCAGCAGCAGCAGCAGCAGCAGCAGTGGCTAGCAGTAAGTGGTAGCAGTAGCAGCAGCAGCAGCAGTGTGCAAGACGGTAGAGGGCGAGGTGGATGATGACGTAGTTGAAGAGGGCGATGGATGGGCAACAAGTGGTGAGTGGTGTGGTTGTGGGTGGTAATGGGTGATGTGATGGATGATGGGGAAAGAGAGGGATCTGGCAGCAGCACCAGACGGTTGGGCGGGCGTGGGTGGGCAGTTATAATGGGCAGGCACAAGCAGGGCAAAAGGCACAGGGTTCGCCCATCCGGGATCAGGGCACTATCAGGGACTGAGAATTGCATGCGTGGAGATGGGAAAGTGCAGTGCGCCCTAGGACGCTAGCGCGGTGAAGGAGCAGGGGCCCCGGCGATCAGCTTCTGGCGAGGCGACGCGCGACCAGGAAGCATGCGCACCAGCACCAGGTGGCATCAGCTCATCTTACGCCTGCCTGGCATGGCGCTACACAGCCGGCGATCGAGGGCCACGCCCCCCAAAGCTTCTTGTGCTGTTGAGCCGGCTGCTTGGGGGCAGAGCTGCAGCAGTGCGGGCGATCAAGACAAAAGCAACCCCAGACAAGAGCACCCGCCGCCCAAGGGCAACTCTCGGCCAATGCTGCGCGGCGGAATGGTGCCGTGCCAGGGCGACAGATCGCGATCTCGTCAATTTGGGGCGTGACAATGCCAGATTGTGAATGGGGAGGCGACCATCGGCCCTCGGGCTGCAACTGCTCTCCCGCCTGCCCGCCTGCCCGCCTGCCAGCTCACGCCTTTTTTTTTCTTTGCCTGCCGCTCCTCGGACATGGCACTCGAGCATTTGCCGGGCGAGGGTACATGAGAAAGTGTATATTGTGTATGAGTGTGGGTGCGGGTGCGGCAGTGGGTGCGTGTATCAGTCAGTGAGTGAGCGAGTGTGTGGGTGTTGTGGTTGTAGTTATTATTATTATTATTATTGTTATTCTTCTTCCTATTATGATTTTGATTCCCAGTTGTTGTTCTGGTTGTTTGCACGGTGCGCCCACACACACGTACCTACTCGCATCCATACTACAGGACCGCACAGGCATGTGCCCCTCAACAAGCCGATTGCACACCACACCGGCATCCACGTCCACACCGCACCCGTATCCAAGTACCATGTCTATGTATGTACCGTCGCAGCAGTCGCTTTCTTTCCTTTGGCATGCCCTCACCCTCGGGCGGTGGGCAGCTGCGGCGCAGGGCGGAGGGCGGGCGTTCTGCGGGCCAGCAGGCCAGGGTCTGCGTGTCGGTACTGGCAAAATGGACGGGGCGGCATAAACGTCGTGATGTCTGATGTAATCCAGAGATCAGGGTCTTCTCCGCTCCCCAATCCCTGTCGGCGCATCCCTGTCCGCCCGTTTTCGCTAGAGCCCAAAGGGGGCAGGCGCGGGCCTTGACGTTCAGCAGTGATCGGGCAATCGGGTGGGGATCGATTGCGGCGCGGCTTCCAATGACGTCGCCCCGCCCGCCAGCCAGTCTCCTGCGCCACAGCCCCTGGAGCAGCTGTCTGCCCCTACTAGCCCCCTGCTAGCCCACCGCGCTCGTCAGACCCATAGACCCCTCTGGCCCTCTGCCCACCTCGCTCCACGCGGACGCCAAACGGTAGCCGTGCACCCCGGGCCTGCTCCTCGTCCCCTCATCGGGTTTTGGCACTACATCGACCTGATCCTCACACCCTAGCCCCTCCCCGTTGCTTTTGCACCACAGCCCTTCCAGCAGGCATCCGGTCCTTTTCCAACTCTCTTACCTACGATCGCGATCCCACGCCCGACCATCTGCCCTCTGCCCTCCAGAGCCCACTGACACGCCATGCAGGGCCCAGCCAAAAGTCCCCTTTTCCCGCCGCCGCCTGACCCGGGCCCTCGCTATCTCTTACACACGCTGATGTCATTGCTACCCACTGCCCCAGTCCCTGCGCACCTGCCGACTCCCAAAACAGCAGGCCGCGATACACTTCTGGCGACCGCCTTGTCCGCCGTGACACAGCAATCCTGCCATTTCGGCCTGTACCCTCCGCTTTCCCGTCACCGGCCATGCAACAAAATGAGCGGGAAGAGAGAGAAAAAAAGTCTCTTTCGCGTCACCAGAGCCGCCTCCGGTCCACGTGTAAGACCCCTCCTCCCTCCCTTTCTCCCCGATGCATCGCGATCCTCCCGCCTTCCATGTGTCTACCATTTCATGGTCATGCCGGACAATGCGGTACATACGTGTCCAAGTATTACTTACTCTACACACACTGTGCGTGCACTTGCTTTGCCTGGCTTGCTTGCATGTACATTATAGTACGTACATGCTATAACCATCTTACTGCTTTGCCTGGCTGGCTGGCTGGCTGCCCGCCCTGTCCCCTCAACCAATACTCTGTCCCCTCATCCGCGGGGCTAATCCTCGCCCTCTACCGTGGTAACAGGACCCTCGATGATTGTTTCCCCTCGTCAATCGCCCTCCCGATGCGATTGCCTAGCATCTCGTGAAACCTAGATTGCTTCTTTGATGCGTCTTCGCTTGCGCAATCTCGCAACCGCAACCACTGTTCAGCTATCCGTCCATTCCTCCATCCTCTACAGAGACCCTGCATATGCGATCCCCTCTGCTGCATGAACAAGCGCAAAAGCTGCCGGCACCTCTTGATCCCACTCCCACCCCCCATCAACCACGTCCTTTGTTACTTGGACCTCCCCCTGAGCCTGCCCTGGGACACATGCTTTGCTAGCCATGTCCACCATTGTTTGTTTCTGAATCAAGGCCCCGACAGTGTGCGTGCGAATCTCGATCTCTCTGCTACGCAATACGTCATTGAACTTTGCGCCACAAGCGCTGCATCGGATCCACTCGGCCTATTTGGAGAAAAAAAAATTGCTCCTGCGCCAGATGAGCATTCTGGGCCTTGGCATCAAGTTGCGATCTCGATCTCTCAAGGCGCCACATGCCTTGGGACCAAATCACAACCACGGGCTACCCATCCGGTATGGCGTTCATGCAGGCAACCACTGCGAATCCCATCCAAGTGCCCCCCTCTCGACGTTTATTTATCGAGTAGCGTCTGCATCTTCTCGTCTATCATCAGTCTTGTACGCTCAAGTTCCGATAAACTAACTCTGTGAATACGCTACTTCTCGTATGCCCCCGTACATACACATCACACATGGTCCCTTAGTCTTTCGGCATGTGTGATAGTAGTAAGCCCGTTGGGCAAGCGCGCAGCCCTTTCCCCCTCCTCCTTCTCTTTCCCATCCGCTTCCGCCCACTTTCCAATCATGCATTTCGCTTTCGGCTTCAGCACTCGTCCTCTCATCGACTATGCGGCAGACCCTGGCTTTTCGGGAAACATACCGTGTACACATATGCCCAATCCTGTCGTGCCCATTTGCTTTTTTTAAGCTCGCAGTCTTGGCAAATGGCTGAGAAGAGAACGGACCCTTGAGCTGTTCTCGCCAGTGTTTTTGCATCAGTTGTTTGCGACACTACACGGTAACAAGCATAATCCCCATGATATGCAGATGTGCCGCACATTTGTCGTACGAGTTGTCGCGAGGGTACGCGCGTTATCTACATTAGCTCTATGTTACTTGTGTATAGCTGCTCAGAGAGGTAAGCCTCGAGCTGCGTTTCAGTGCCACAAAACCGTTCCGACAATCTTCGGCCTCTGCCAGAGTGAGCATCTGCGACACACCATTGGCTGGCCCTAGCAGACTGAGATCGCTTCCACTACCCCGTTTGCACTACGGCACTTTTTTTTTGTTGTGCGTGCTTCAAACTCAAAACCGTGTGCATTGACGCGCGCGCTATTGACGCCTTCCGTCGCAAGTTATTTTACCAAGATTATGTGCACATCACACTACTTTACTCACCTAGAAAGGAAACGGAAAGAAATGGGACCAAACAACTAAAAAAAAACAAGGGCGACGCATTATGCAACATGGGCATTCTTCCTGCGAGGCTGCCAGCCCAGCCAGCCGCACGCACACGACGTCCACGGGGCTCGCTGCCGGCTGGTACTTGTCAGCTCGGGCCCCACCACGAACATCCCCAAGGGAGCCATTCGTCAACCATAACGGAACAGGTTCCCACCACACGTTTCCGACCGTTGCCGGGCCTGCTTGCTTGCTGTGTCATTCCCAAGAATGAACGCTTATCCCGCATCCCCGCTGACGCTACCGCAGAGTAGATCCACGTGGGAAGCAACTTGGATAGTTGGCCCTACTTTTTTTTTTTTGCTCTCTTGTCTCTCTGCAGGTTTCTTGTTCCTTTACCAATAATTACGTCGACTGACTATTCCCGGCGAGCGGGGAAAACAGCCAAGCTGAGCCAAGTTTTTTTGCTTGCGTCCATTCATTCGCGCCCTCAACACTTGCAGGCAAACCAGTTCCTTGTCCAGTAGTACTGACCAAATATTCTTTGGCACTTCAATGACTTGCATCTCCCCCGTCCAACCGGATCCCCGACTGTAGCTAAGCAACAGCCATCCCCTCAGTCCTCTCCAATCCACCTCTCACCACGCATCACCAATTGCCTTCTTTGGCTGAGAACGCAAGAACAACACAATAACGCCCTGTCTAGGCCCTCCCCCCTCTCCAAATCCCTCCCCAAATCCCTCCCCTTTCCCCGCTCCACTCACATGCCCATTTACCTATCGGAGTTCCGTCCATACTCCGACCTCGCTAAGCCCTCCTTCGTCTCTCATTAAATTCTAAGTATGCCAAAGCATACCCTTTGTAATCACCACGTTCATGCAACCCTCCCGGAATGATTTGCGAGAGGACACGGAGCGGATGCCGACTCAACCAAGCGTGCTTCATGCATTCCAGCCCTTTTACCCCATGTTCGTGGCTGCGAATGGCTTGCGAACCCAAGGCGAGAATAGAAGGAGGGGAAAACAACAAAAGCCGGAAAGTATTTGTTTTGTCTTGAACGACGGGGGTAGGTTATGTGGTTTGCCGTTTCCAGGGTTGCGCAATATGCAGTGTTGGACTATCAATTGGCTTTTGCATCTGGTGTGGGCGGGCATGTGTGTGCGCCTGGTGGTTGATGAACCGTTTTTGTGGTTCGGTACTGGGTTTGGTCAATCATACGCCATTATACTTGCTCCCCCTCTCCATCTTAGTCTATATTTTATTTTATCTCTTTATTATTTTCTTTTGTATGCGTTTGTGAACTCTGGTTCACTGCCATAATTTCCCGCTTGTCAACTTGCCCACCCAACCCCCAACCCCCCCCTCCCCATCATCATCAAAAATCCTGTTTTTATTTGATTGTTTTTTTTTCTCGACTTGTGGGCTGGGCTGGCCAGGCCATGCGTGACATGCGCGGGGAAAGTTACACAGTAAATGTGCAAAGTTGCTTGTTTTACGTCGTACTGCGCGCACGCTCGCGGCTATCTTTCCCTCCACGCACCCCAGTTTGTTACTAAACCACACTCAATCTACTTACTGCCTTTTTCAGCCTCGTACTCGCAGAACGGGTCCTCTTCTGGACTTTTTGTTAGGCGCTCGATCGATGCGCACGCCCGTCATTATTTCGATTGTACACATTGTTCCTTGGAAAAATAAGTCCGATTACCTTGATTCAAGGTTTTTGCTCGCATTGAACAATTACTCGTGCAGTCTATCTTACCTTCCAAGTTTCCCCCTTCTGGCGGAAGAAAGAGAGAAAGAAAGGCGAGTTGGTGGTGGGGAAAGGATTGCGCGCCATCTCATCTGATGTCTTGTCATGTCGTTGCATCTTCTCTCCGTCTCCCCGCCTTTACAACTCCTACATCAGCTCATTGCACACGTTTTTTCTTCATTCCTGGCTGCTGGTCAGCCTTAACGTCCACCGGTTGCGGACTGTCAATGCCGACGAGCAAATAGCGAGTAGCAACAAGCATTCCTTCCCGCTCTCGCGCGTCAGGCCCTCAATCCTTCCTCTCGCCGGCACCCAAGCAATCTTCCCTTCCCATACGCCCGCCTACTCGGCCATTTCCTCCGTACACACCCACACCCACATACACATCACCCCACCCCTACACACCTCGCTTGTTTCCACCTCGCGTGCATACACGCGAGACCGTTGCATAACGGGAGCAAAAAAGGTAGCTCGGTTTCAGCACACCCTCCCCCTCCCTCAACGTCCTCGACCCGTATACATACTATTCTACAATACGTACTTGGATATTACAAGCCGTTTTCCCGCCCCACCCTCCTTCCAACTTTCCCGCAGCAAGCCCCAACGCATTTTCGTGGCTTGCATTTCATTTACAAAAACGGCGTATACCTAGCTGCAGGGACTTTCTCTCTCTTGTGTCCCTTTACCTTTTTGGAACCTGATTCACGCACCCATATTTGCTCCACTATTCGTTCATACTACATATTCCTACATGTAACATACATGCCATATAACCTAATCCCCCCCCCCCCTCTCGGGGTCCTTATGAATCGAGGCAGGGAAGCGCAGATCGGGTAAAAATAAAACCGGGTATTCGTAAAAGGCGGTGGGGCGAACAGGCGGCTTGCGTGCCCTGCTTTGATGAGTATTTGTTGTCAGGATTTGGAGTTGGAATGAGAATGGGGAATGGGTAGGTTGCTTGACTCGGGGATGCGATGGGCACCCCGTAGCGAGCGTATTTGAGCATGGAGAATGGGGGTGCAAAGGTTTGCGACGTTGAATTACCCCAGTTCTGTGTCGCATGACAGAAATTCTTTGCGACGTGGGGATCGAAGGAGCAGTGGGAAATGAAGGGCTTTTGCTTGCCTGAATTGTCACTGTGGTGGGGTTCAATGTTTTCTTTTTTTTCGCGGTCCCTTTTTGTTGCGTTGCAACGTCGGGCTGTTGCGTTTGCGTGTTGTTCTTCACTCGGGAATGTTGGCCGGTCGCCGGTGGCCAATGGGGAGCCCCGGAATGACACAACATGGGGGCTGGATACATGCTTCCTTCCGCTCTCCTCTGTCTGTTTCTGTCATTCCCTTCCGGATACCTGGTAACAACCTTTTCTTTCTTCTTTCACATGGGCTCATGGTTCGATGTGTCTTCATACTAGCACCGTTATCTTAACCGGTGAGAAACGTACCATTTAGAATTTAGCATTCGCATCGATTGCAGCGATTTGCTGACTTCTGCATGAGCCTTATCGGACTTATTTTTTTCTGTCGCTTGTTTTGCGGCGATTACTGTATACTTCATGATGCTACATGTTGCATACATGCATGTAACATGAGTAATTACCTCCC